TTGTTTATCGTTAAAATCGAAATCTTCTAATTTTAGTGTTTGTTTAAACCACGACCATGTAAACAATGTATTTAAACCTGTTTCGTCTTTTGTTTTATAAATGCCACAAATTTTAATAAGTTCACGTTTTGTGGATTCCATTCATTCATCTATACATCACATTCTCTTCATATATTTTACATGAATGACGTTGGTGATAATTACGGGTTCATATTTCATCTCAAAGGTTTTATGCATTTTTACATATACGCAATACGCAGTTTGCTTTCTCTCTCTCTCTCTCTCTCTCTCTCTCTCTCTCTCTCTCTCTCTCTCTCTCTCTCAAGTGCTTACCTATTTTCTTTGTAGTTTTTTCACCCTCCACACTTTTTGTAGTTTTTTTTTTTATTTATACCCAATACGCAGTTTTCTTTGTGATGTTTTAGACACAGACACACGCACACACATTCTCTCTCTCTCTCTCTCTCTCTCTCTCTCTCTCTCTCTCTCTCTCTCTCTCTCTCTCTCTCTTCTTTCTCGAACTCACACACATACACATTGGGGTAGTGATGATATAACCCTCGACCCTTCTACAGAAATAGCTTGGGTTGAGCCATCCCCTGCACAAAAGGGCGTGTGGGGGAGAACCATGATAAGGGAGGAGCCAGAGTTCTTGTAACCTTAGAGGTCCCAGAGCCACATTTTTCATTCAAGAGGAGATAAAACAAATTTGATGTAATGAAAATACTAAAAAGATACTAGTACCTTTTGTAACATTAATAAATGATAGTACTAGAAGTGCTCTTAATATGAGATAGTACTAGAAGTGTACTTAATCTGAGATAGTATTAGAAGTCCTCGTAATATAAGATAGTACTTGAAATGCTCCAAATCTAAGATAGTACTGGAAGTGCTCTTAATCTTAGATAGTACTAGAAGTGCTATTAATCTGAGAGTACTAGAAGTGCACTTAATATGAGATACTACTAGAAGTGCTCTTATCTGAGATAGTCTTATAGAAGTGCTCTTAATCTAAGATAGTACTAGAAGTGCACTTAATATAAGATAGTACTAGAAATGCTCTTAATCTAAGATAGTACTAGAAGTGCTCTTATCTGAGATAGTACCATAGAAGTGCTCTTATCTGAGATAGTACCATAGAAGTGCTCTTATCTGAGATAGTACTAGAAGTGCTCTTAATATGAGATAGTACTAGAAGTGCTCTGAATCTAAGATAGTACTAGAAGTGCTCTTAATGAGATAGTACTAGTACTAGAAGTGCTCTGAATCTAAGATAGTACTAGAAGTGCTCTTAATATGAGATAGTACTAGAAGTGCTGGCTAGTACAGTGGTAACGCGCTGGCTTCGCATTCACGAGGTCGAAAGATCGGTTCCCGTCCAAGACCGAGAGTTTAAGCTGTTTCCTGGCAGGTACTGCTGAGGTTGGTCACCACTGTGGGGGGTTGGGGCTTGCCCCGGCTGACGAATACCCATTGTATTGTAATGGAAATAAAGGTTTATTATTATTATTATTATTATTATTATTATTAATCTAAGATAGTACCAGAAGTGCTCTTAATCTAAGATAGTACTAGAAGTACTCTTAATCAGAGATGTTTAGTTGTACTCAGGTTTATCTATCCGAATGATATCCAAACTTACTCAAGACAAGTTAAAAAAGTAAGTCTGCACGTGTATGCTGGAAAACAGTCTTGATTGATTTGTTTAAATTTAAGAAACAGCCTTACGCAAGGCCTGGGGAAACTCATATGGAAGGAGTGTGCGGGGTTTATGGTGGAATAAGATTTACAAGAATACGGGCATGATAATTGTATATATGTACCACGCAGAAAACACACCCATACATACATACATTGGGTGAAGTTATATAGGCCTATATGATTTCTGGCATCCATTTTTATTTTATAATCGCCAAAATTATGAAGATTGAATTCTAAATTCCTCATCACGCGAAATATGCGTATGTTTGGGAAAATCATAAATAAAATATATAGAGTGAGCTTCATACTTAGCGCTTTCATTATATGGAAGCTATACATATATATAAACTGGGTCTCCTAACTTCAGAATTTACAACGTCTTCAGCTTTGAATATATGAAACGGACTCACAAAAATAAAATTTTAAAAGTTCTTGAAATAAAGTTGGGGACTTCACGACAGTGACTATAAATATATTGGTGATGTGTGTTTGTGTGTGTAAAGCCCTCTTTACTTGACGTATCCCATTTGGCGTAGAAAAGCGTATCTCGCACGAGGCATTTGGGCATACCATCTGCGGAGACATGTCAGAGACTTGGAAGAAGTAAGAACACATCTTCCTCATTTCCTTCCATTATATTCTTCTCTCATCCCTTCCTCTTATTCTTCCAACTTTCATTCGTGGGCTTAGCATAGCATTGGGATAAAAGCGGAAGAGGGAGAATGATGTATGTAAATGGGGAGGATTAACCCCAGTCCTCAGGGGTGCAGTACAGAGACACCAAGAGACCGACAAAGGGGGCGGGGCTGGGGTGAGACATACGGTTTGCGTAAATAGACGCGAGAGGGCAGGCAACCTTGACAGATGAATGGTGTTTTGGATAACTTTTGAAGAAGAAGAAGAAATAGATGTAGAAAGGAGGAGGGAAAACATTAGAACGTGGTTCTGTTTATTTGATCATTTTAATAATAATGATAATAATTATAATACATCCAATTTTAAGTAATCCCTGGTCTGAGGCTGAAACCCATTCGTACACATGTACGCACACACATCTCTTTATTTATTGATTAATTTGAGCAATATTTTTCCAGTTGTGAACTAACCTATCTTTACTCAAGATTTCTTACGTGTATGGGAACACTGCTCACTAGGCTAAGATATGCCTTAAGAATATTTACGAATATGTTAATGAATGAATCCCTTGTTCTTAGAGGCCCATGTCAAGGGTTAAGTTGCTTTGCTTATCCTGCGCTTCCATTACTCTAGCAATGTAAACAAAATGAGGTATTTTTAATGTTTATTTTTTTTATGTTGTTTATACTTTGGCTATCTTTTCTGTTCTTTCTTTCTATCTTTATTACTTTTTTTATAGTTTTTTGTTCATTTTTGTATAGGAAATTGTAGGGATATATTTGATGTCTCGAACGAGCGAAGAGCGATGGTCCCAATTTGTGTTCGAGATTCTGTTTGTTTACATTATCAGAAGGCTGTGTTGTATCATGAATGTAAGGGGACATTTCGATATACTACTACTACTACTACTACTACTACTGATGCTGCTGCTATTACTGCAATAACAACTACTATTACTTAACATTAAAAGAATTGAAGGGACCACCTCATCGTCATAATATGAATAATTTCCAATATGGCATTTCGGTTCCAAGGTTCTAGTACTATTACTACTACAACTAAGAATTGAACTTTCTTCATAAAATTGACTGTTCTCGATATTTGGCCTTTTTTAACAGGCATAAACTTTCTTTGTGCATCGTACAAAACCATCAAAGTCCAACGGTGCTTTTTTATGGCACTGGAAAATATATCCTTATAATAGAGAGAAACGCCCCAATTCTCAAAATGGAATCTGATGACTGTGTTGTTGTTGTTGTTGTTTCGGTTTTACGCCACTGACTCCCTTTTCTACCAAGGGCTAGAACGGTTGCCTTCTTGCGAAGGACTTGTTTTGCAGATGTAATCGTTACCCTTAATGAATGCACTTGCTAACTTCAGACCGTGACGGGACGCGAACCCTCGACCTGACGCCTCAGAGTCACGGACGCTACCGCTTGAGCCACGGTGACTACTAATCTGATGACTGTACGTAAAAATATTCATTATCCTGCTATAATACGCTCTACATAAGACACTTTTCGTATTAAATAACAAGTAATGCTAAGTACAGAGTTAAAGTAACAAAGCATTACTTCAAGCCATAGATTGTGTGGTATATGAACTAAATAAAATGGTGCTGAAAACTTTTCGTATTAAATAACAAGTAATGCTTAGTACAGAGTTAAAGTAAAAAAAAAAAAACATTACTTCAAGCCATAGGTTGAGTGGTATATGAACTAAAAAAAATGGCGCTGAAAACTTAACCGTAGAGCATGAGGCAGGGTATGGGGTAGGGGGAGGGTGGACCCATAAATATGTTTGTTGCCGAGGGGAAAACAGTATAGCCATTCCCAGAATAGATATGATGAATGTGGCAGCTGAATGAGCAGTAGTAGTAGTAGTAGTAGTAGTAGTAGTATGAAATCATCATAGTTGTAGTAGTGGTATGATATCATGATATCATAGTAATAGGAGTATGAAGTTCCCAGTAGTAGTAGTAGTAGTAGTAGTATGAAATCATCATAGTTGTAGTAGTGGTATGATATCGTAGTAATAGGAGTATGAAGTCACAGTAGTAGTAGTAGTAGTAGTAGTAACAGCAGTGTAGTAGCATTAATATTAGTAGTTTATTTTCCTTTTTGTTTTGTTTTTATATTATTTAATCTCAAAAGTCTATTTTCAGTTGTTTTCAAAGATAGAAAATAGACAAATTGGTTACTTTTCCAGTCAAAAGGCCACAAGCCTACATCAACACCGAATATTCTTGGATATTCGTTACACATGTCTTATTATCCCGTCACATCTGACAAGTCACAATACTCCCTATCTCCGTTTCTCTTTATATTTTCTTCGTGCCCAGACTCGATGAGGGTAAATTTATTTTATTTTATTTTTGGCCTGTCCTGGTGTCACAATAATAATGATAATAATAATAATAATAATAAAAGCATTTTTTTTTCTCCACAACTAATATGAAAACTGGCAAAGATAAAGCAGCATAACGGCGTCTGTGTGTGTGTATGTATGTATGTATGTATGTGTGACTGAGACAGGAAGTTCCCTCCAGAGACAGAGAATGGGATCCCATTACAACGAACTGCTACCGCCCGTTTCCTGAAAGTAAGAGTATGTGAACCTGTTGTTTGGCAAGATTTTAGGTACACAGTTTTGTTTACAAGAGTGGCCGCCGTGGCCGAGTGGTAACGCTCGCGACTTTGACTCGGCTGGTCGTGGGTTCAAGGCCCACCACAGTCCTTGGTTAGAAACTGCATTCAGTCAGGGTAACGGTCACACTTGCCAACACCAAAGTCCCTAAAAAGAAAGCAACGTCCTAGCCCTTAATAAGAAAGGGAGTCCGTGACGTAAAACCGACTAGTCTTGTTTACAGAAACCGCGACCCCATATGACCATTGGGAAAAGCTGTCGATATATAGTCATGTAAACAAATGAGATCCCAAAATAGCAAACATTTGTGTTTATCTAATGTTTGCATATTCGTAACGTATAATAATAATAATAATAATAAAAGCACATGCTTTTAATGATAAATTGCACTATATAAAGCTTTCGCTTTCCGTTGAAAACATTTTCAAGTTAGTAATGGAGTTGGTTTTCAATTCTGGTTTATATAAATGTAAAATGTTTTGAATTTCATGAAAATATATAATTATTTTGGAATTACATTTGATTTTATTCTAATACTTGTTTCGCTTAGATTAAAATTCTCTCTCTTTTTTTTCGTTGATCTCTCTTGAGGGTGAGCGGACCTTCCCTTTTTGGCCCGCAGGTTGGGAAACACTCTCTAGGGCCTGTTTTTTTTCTTGAGCGAAATACCAGTTACAAGTATGCAGTCCGGTTGTTAGTACATGAACTTATATTGTAATTGTACTTTTTATATTTTTATCAGTTGACAGTATGTACAAGACGTACAATACAAACCTCTTACGTGATCACATGTATGTGTATGTGTGCTGGGCAGGTATCTGTATTATATAATAATAATTTGTAAAGCTTCTAGTTTCTGTATTTTATAAGAAAAAAAAATAACTTTATCATTGAATGATAATACAGTAACATGTGATTTTTTCTTTCAGTATTGTGCATTGACGAATATTTACTTAAAATAAGGAAGAGGTTATATGAAAGTTCCTGTCGAAGACACTGACTGATTGCGAACGAATATTATATTCTTATGAAATTCACACGCTAAAGTTTAACTCTCTCTCTCTCTCTCTCTCTCTCTCTCTCTCTCTCGTGGCTTTTTTTCTCCTTTGCAATACTAACAGTAATATATAATCAGAGGCTTGTTTTTTTAAGAATTACCGAGTAAATTGACAGGACTCATCTTGTGGTGA